CGCGGCAGTGCTACGCTTGCTAGCACCACCATCGAAAGGGACTTGGGGGTCACGATTGACCACAAGATGAACATGACCAACCAATGCGATGCTGCAGCCGGCAAAGCAAACAAAACCCTGGCTTGCATCTATCAATCCATCTCAAGCAAGACCCAGGAAGTCATCCTCCTGCCGTACGTGGCCTTGGTGAGGCTGCAGTTAGAGTACTGCATCCAGTTCTGGGCTCTGCACTTTAGGAAGGATGTGAAGAAGCTTGAGAGTCCAGATGAGAGCCATGTGCATGAACAGAGGACAAGAGAAAAAGTCTTTTGAGGAAAGGCTGAGACACATGGGACCCTCTGGCCTAGAAAAGCAAAGGCTCAGGGTGGACTTGGTGGCAGCATATACATTAGGGGTATGCATCAGGAACTGGGAGAATGTCTGTTCACTAGGAATGTCTGTTCACAAGGAAAGACAAGGTCTAAGTCACAAACTCCAGGAAGACTGTTTTAACTGGACGTAAGGAAAAACTTCTTTATCAACTGAGTTCCTAAAGTCTGGAATAGACTCCCCACAGAAGTGGTGCAAGCACCTACTCTGGATACCTTTAAGGCACATTTGGATGCTTATCTTGCTGGGATCATTTGACCCCAGCAGACTTCCAGACCCTTGGGTGGGCAGGGCTGGACCCAACGACCTTGCGAGGTTTCCTTCTAGCCCTAATGTCTATGAAATCTATGAAATGGAAACCCTTAGCAGCCCAGGATGTAGCATTTGCCAGACATATCACTATATATATTAGTGATTAAACAAATGTTTCCTAAGTTTAAGCATCCTTTGCCATCCATGTATATATGTGTATATGTGTGTGCACACGCATGTGAGCACACACTCAAAGGATGCTTAAATTTAGGAAACATTTGTTTAATCACATACACAAACATTTGTATCCCAGAAACCTTTCCCCAACTCTGCAACACCTGGAAGAGGTAGCAGTGGTTGAAGAAGTTTGTAAAATAAGCAAGCTTGGAAAGACTTGCAAAGAACTACGGACAGGTCTCATCCACCACAAATGAAAACAACTTAATATTATCAATGGACAGGAAGCACTGCTTCATAACAACAACCAGCCAATGGGAACATCAATTCACCTGCCCATTTGAATGAAAAAAAGAAACCCTAAGCTGGCTGGCTCACTCAGGATAAGTAACTGAACAGGTGAGCATCATCAGTTTCCATCAACACCCACAGTACAAAGTGGGCTTCTAGTGTTTTATGCCTGGAATAGCAATTTTTTGTGACAACATCATAAGACTAAGCGAGAGGTATGACCCCATGGGCCAGATGAACTGGAACAGGGCCAGTTTGCAGGCCAAATAACCGGCATGGGGTCAGCCTACAGGCCAGATGGGGCCCACAGACCAGCTCCACAATGGTGCAGATACTGTATGCAGCACACCCTGGACCAACCCCACATGCTGCATGCAGCGCAGGCCAACCCCAGCCCCATATGCAGCCTGTGCTGGCCCAGGCCCCGCATGTACTGCATGGATCCAATTCAACACACGCTGTATGAAACGTGTGGGTCCACTCCATGGGCAGCACCACAGGCCATATCTACTCTGAGGGCCATATCTTTGACACCCCGAGCTAATTCAACTGACACAGGAATGTAGGGAAGAAGAAAAACAGGTGAATATGCACACGATAGTTGATTTAAAAGAGTAGCTCTGTATGGGAAAATAGTGCATTTCAAAGTTTCACTAATCTATTTGCATTCAAAAAAATATTGAGGGTGACTTTCATTAAGTGGTAATGCAACACAAGAAATCTAAATTCCCCTCCTAGGCAAGAGGAACGTGACACTGAAGAGACCGTATATTCAGATTTAGAATTTCTCTGTAAAGCACCTGATGTCACTTGAGTACTCCAGTTGACCAACAAGAAGCAGCAACCATTCCTTTGCCATTAGAGGGAGGGTTACATCACAAGAGGAAACGTGAGATAACATGTCTCAAGTACAAAATATACAATTAATATGCCTTCTCAAATGATCAGGTTTGTTACTCACTACTATACTAAACAAACCTATGGTTTGTTTCATAGTCCTAAGACCTTATGCTCTAGGCTAAACAGGAACTGAATACTTCCCATAGCACGTGCTCAACTTGCAAGAAGGAACATAGTATTGTGCTCCAATACAGCATAATAGTGCGCGTAGAGCTTCTTGTGGCTCTTATACAAGGGTCAGAAACTGAATGATCTGGTGGTGTGCAACAGAAGTGAAGGAATATGCTAAGAAAGACGACAAAATCTGATACACAAGATTAAATCTCTGTTCCAATTAGCCTAATATTTGTGACCTCTGCAGCAATAACACTTCAGAGAAAAGCTAAACTCCCAAAGTGCAACCCAACTGATGGCACAGCACTGTACATGAAGATGCTTCCTCCTTTCACGAGCCTGGTGGCAAATCAGCTGTTGCCCTGAAACAAAGGTTTAATTACCTGGTTCCTGACAAATGTAAAAGAAAACTGACAGTCATGGTAACTGGAAAAAAAAATGAAAGCTTCAAAACCTGAAAAATGTTTACAACTATTAAGGAAAACCCAAACTGAAGTTGGGTAAAAACTACATCCTGCTTGGGGCTGCCCTGATGGCTGAATGGTTCTTTCAAAGTAGCCCCAAATGCTTTCAACTGTAGTGTCATGAAGGAAGATCATTTCGGTCAATGAATCCTGTGTGGTTTTGTGAAAGCTCCAGGGTTGGTTTTTGGTTTTTTGGGGTTTTTTCCTTTAGGCATTCCCCCTATTAACCGTCAACCTACCTGCCCATAGTTGTCTATGCCAGTTACTAATCTATTTAAGTTTAATAAATCAAAAGCGGTCCTGAGGGACTGGCCAAGAGTTGTCAGTCCTTCAGCCTGCAAGTTTTTCAGCTCGCTCATAAACGTTGCGTGGTTTTCTTTCCATCCAGCCTGAAAAGAGAAAGGCGAGAGAGGGGTTTATCCCCAGGCAGCAGGGGGCTGGGATTGCCTTTCCCCACACAGGCTCCCACCCAGGGGGGCTCCCTCTGGGGACAAGGCCAGTGCTCCCCAGGGCATCCTGTGAGGTGCCAAGAGGGCACTGCCCCCACCCCGCCCCGGGGGTGGCAGTGGGGCGGAGGCAAGGCGAAGGGAGGCCCCCCCCCAGCCGCGCGCGGAGCGACCGAGGAGTCGCTGTCACTTCTCGCAACTTGCGCCGGATCCCCCACAGTGCCTTGCGGCTCGCGCTCCGCGCCGCCAACATGGCGGCCATGTTGATGTCAGCACCGCCGCGGCCGGACCCCAGCGCGGCCGCCCCGGCCCCAGCCCCGGGAGGGGCGGGGCAGGCGAGGGGT